CAGACAGGCAGACTGACGACCCGTTTGCGTTGGCGACAACTTTGCAGTCCCCCCCCTGGAGCGGATCGGTTGTGTTTCTTCGCCGTAGATTTATTACGATGCTCCACACAATTTCTCAATAAGCAGATCAGCTCGCGTAGGCCCTCTCGCTCCCACTGGCCCCAGTCGTTGCATAGCGGCCTCTCTCTCTCTCTCTCTGTCGCACAGCCTCTCCTCGGCGATTCCAATGAAATGTGTTTTTCGAATAAAAATGGTCCATGCGATGCGATCGAATTTAAATTGAAAAATTTGATTTTAATTCTTGCATGTGAAATGTGTTTTCATTAACATAATTAACGTCGAATTAAATGTTTAGTTCTCCGCGTCTGTCCCTAGCTGTGTTCTCTTTCTCAGTCCTACTTGTTGGAACTTCATTTGGAATTGTTGTTAAAATAATATAAATTACATTTTACGGCAAAGAAAGTTCCCTTCAAATGGGTATCTTTCCAAAGCCATTGACAGCTATCCGTCAGTCCATTAAATTTGGGTTTCGTGTTGTGTTTGTGTGAAGAGTAATACACTTTTTTTTAGTATGCATTAAAAGTCTAACGATCTCCGGCGTGTTTGTTTCTACACTCTACTCTACTATCGTGGGGGGTCTGTGGGGGGGCAGAGAGTGTGGTTTGAGAGTGTGGCTCTTGATTTATGCTTGTGGCTCATTTATATTGAAATTTGATATATTCGAGCACACGCGGTTCATTTTGCAAAAGCCGCTCCGCTCCAGTCCGCTCTGCGCGCTTTTTGTTGTATTTTATATCCGAATTAATTGAAATGATTGTGATCTACAACATCGCCTGGCCCATACCCATACACGCCACAGATACACACATACAGATACATGTCAGTGTATATTTGTATATAGGAGGTAGCTGTATATAGGCGTGCATATATAATTTATGAATATCGCTTTGTCCGCTCGCCACTCTCCTTTGTCTTTGTCTCGTTTTCAGCGAACTTTTATGCCATCCATATAATTTATATCTGGGGACAGACAATAGCATAACACCTCCTAAACGCCGCCTCTTGTTCAGCTGTGCAGAGCTCTTTTTGGAGCTTTTGTTTTATGGCTACATAAATGTTGTAAGGCCGAAGAATCTATGGGAAATTCGGCGTGGGCGTCCATTTCGAATTTGCATGGTCTTTTGGGTGTGAGATTCTACGCTTCTTTAAAGTGGAGCTGGAGCTCTTCAAATTGAGTCGTTAACGTGGAATATTGGTAGGGATTGGGTGTCTAATGATTATTTCGTGTTTGGAATGACAGAGAAATGTTGGGATATGGAGAGTTAGAGGACTGTAAAGAAGGGCAAATGTAGATCCTTAAATTATATAGTATTTAGTATAATATATTTATTGCTGCTTGGCTGGTAATGGTATTTTGAGTTAAAATTCTTTTAAAAATATGTATATACAAAAATTTATATACAAATTAAAGGAGCGTAAGATTATATTAATATTTACAACAAATAAATATTTGCTGGTTTTCATATTTTAAAGTCTCAATCAATATGCCATGTTTTCTGTCTTTAAACTCTATTAGAATTTATTTATTTAATATATACAATTCTTTTAAAAAATATATACAAATTATGAAGATTATTGAACCCTCCTTTTCCTCTCTGTTGTATTAATCTTAGCTCTGAGAGATTAGAGATCTCTCTGTGTTTCAAATTCCACTTAAAGACTCAAAGCAGCACCACCCATGCCTTTATTTGCAACCTTGAGAAATCAGCAAACCCCAAAAAGAGTGCTTAATCTTTATGCTAAAGTCTTTCTCTCTCTCTCCCCACTGGACCCCCAATAAACTTTGCAAATCAACACATTTGTCAAGCTACACATAACAACGAGAGGCACCAGAGAGTGGACCCAACCCCCAGCCCAGAACCCAGACCCAAAACCCAAAGCCGAAGATCCAAGACCGACTAAGGCAATTAAACGGAATCCAAAAGGAGAACAACCAAATCAGTGGGGAAGAAGGAGTGAGAGGAGTGAGTGAGGAGCGGAGCGGAGAGTGGGGGGGGAACAAAGATGATCACCCGCTGACAGAAAATCACTTGGCAACGCGGCTGATCATTAACCGATAACACATGACATTAAAGAGGTTGATTCCACAAAGAAAAGAAGTTTTAAACGCACACAAAATAAGATAAATACCGACCACCCCAAGAGGAGGAACAACTCCACGGACACAAACGAGCGGAAAATTAATAGTGTGAACAAAGAAGAAGAACGGAGGAGAGAGAACGAGAGAGAGCGAGATGAGCAGAGCAGTAAGGTACATCTGAAACATCTGAGATAGGTATCAGCTTACATTGGAGCCAAGCCAAGCCTGGACAGGCCAGGCCAGGCCTGAGGCCCCACAGCCTAAGACGCCGACGACGACAGCGACGCCAGTAAGGAGTTGGAAATTTGTCAAAATGTCAACGGGTGAAACAGTTTTTGAACAGTTGAAACGGTTGGCACTGGCACTGGCACTGGTCCCCCAAAAAGGGGTAAGGGTTGGGGAACCTCCTCCTCGCATGGGGCAACCACGTAGCTTTTGTAAAACAAACCATTAGCAGCTAATAAACATTAGTCATGCGACAAAACGAACTCTCAGAGAGGAGTCGTTCGGCGTTCGTCGCTCGTCGCTGGATCTCACTGGATCGTCGGATCACTGCTCTCTCGATGATTTAGTGAGTGTAATTAAAACTTAAAGTTTCCTTTTGCTTCGTTTATATGTAAATGATCTTGCGGAATTCCACGAAGAGCAAACCGAGAACCGAAAACCAAACAAACGAATAAGAAAAAGAAAAAAGAAAAAAGACTTTTTCAACTAAGGTTGAACAAGTTTTTGGTGTCTTTTTGGTGTTCTGCTCTGCTGTGGAGTTCATATATTTATGCTCGTATAATTATAATGAATTGCCTGTTTAATCGAAATTTATGCGTATCGAAGGGGCGTTCGGGGTCGGGGGGGTTAGCCTAACCATAACAGCGCGTGTTGACAGTCCGAGTGCCATCAATCTCTGGGGCGAGCATCATCGGGTAGGCTGCTTTGCCACTGTTCTGTGGGGACTCTGCCGATAAGATCTTTTTGTAAGTGATCGCCGACAAATCGTGTACAAGATTAGAGCGACCAACTAGAAACATTAGAAACTCGATTCGGTAATTGGCAATTAAGGCTGGAGTCTAGAAAGGATTCTTACTGAGTCACAGCATCGGGGCCCCTCCGAAAGCGCGATCCCATTCCATGTAGCTGTAAATGTATACCACTTCATTTGTTTTCATTGGCTTCATTCGCTTCCTTGAGGCTTCCTTCTCTGGCTTTTTGTATGTGTCACCCAGCTCATCTTTGTGTGGATCCTCGGCGTCCGAGGTCCGAGTGGAAGTCGGTGTCCTCTTCTTGGTTTGCCTTCCCCCCGAACTGCATGCATGGCAGCCTGTTATTTATGGCATTTCCATGCAGGCACAAATCACCATCACCCTGAGCATTTTGTTTTGCACATTTTTATGGTCGCTACTGATGCTATGCATGCACATGGAATCGCAGGGAATCCTGTTGGTCCGCAACTGGATTCGCAACTGGAACGGAACTTTACATGGGCGAGAGTTGATGGCAAGTTGGTCTAGTTTGTGGGTGTTCGAATCTAATGACAAATGGGCCTGGCCACTGGCCACCGGCCAGTCGGCTGTTGCAACATTGTATGCAGCGAAAGTGGAGAGAACTTTTGGGGCATATCAGTAGCTTACAAAGAAGGTACTTGTGCGCCTATATGAGGCATGTGAGCTTTGAAATAAATTAAACGAATAAATAAATAAATTATAATAATAATAATTTAAAATAAAATAAAAATAATAGGAATAGCCTGGAATATCCTTAAAATATTTAAGATGCGTGTAAAAAAGTTCTTTGAACGCCATTCGCCTTTGGCCTTTAGTGGCAGGTGCAAATATCATGAGGAACCATGTTCACAATATGTCTAAAGATCCGCTGATAGCATCGCTGTTGCATCTATTTAATAAGTCGACTATCCATCGTCTAGGACAATTTTCTACTAACTTCTGACATTTAAAGCTATGGCTATGGTTATCTTAAACATAATGTTCCTCGAATATTATTCTAGCCGCTATTTTTCCTGCATATTCGCTACAGTTTCGGTTAAACGCGTAGCGCGTCATGCGGCAGCGCCCCTCTGTCGGTTGGGCGGTGGGAAAGGCTGCGTTTCTGCCTGGGACCTACGTAACAGGCTTCGGCTCGTCCAACGATATCATATCCGTTTGAAGGTTCGAGGTGGTGAGATAGGGGCTTAGGGGATTATATTGAATATTAAGCAATGTAGCTAAAAGCTTAGAATGCCTTCATGGATGACCTTTATTTATTTCACTTAACTCCACTAACTTGTTAAAGTTTTGCCTCTACCTTTGCTGCAGATAATACAATATTTTAATGACTTCCTCGGCCTGAACAAACAGTAGCTCCTTAACATATTTACCCAAGCGAATCTCCGCGCAGCATTCCAACTGATTATGTCATCTAGCCTGCAGCCAGCCAGCTCCTTCCCACACTCTGGATGGCACGCATGACGATCCAAGCCACCTTAATCGCCAGCAGCGTACCAAAGAGAGGAGAGATGATCGCGCACCGAATGCGAATGCTCATAACCGTAAGATTCACACATGCCTTTTGGCATGACAGTCGAGGATGTGGCTCTTGGCTGTTGACTGTTGGCTGTTGACTGTTGGCTGTTCACTGTGGATGAGGAACAAGAGAAATACATTTTGAAAATTTAACGATGCGCACATTTTATTACCGCAATTAATTACAAAAACAACGCGGCCAAAACAGAAATCTTAGTCACTTTATCTGCGATGCCAGCAGCAGGGATGAACCCACAGAGAAAAAAGAAAAAAGACTGAGACTGAGAGCGAGAGAGAACTCTACAGAAGAAACAGGGAGAGAGAGACAGACAGACAGACAGACAGACAGACAGAGCGATCTTAGGGCAGCGATAAGCTTTATGATAGATGTGACTAGTAAAATGCTACTACCAAATGGTTCTGGAGATTGCAGCTCCTCTCGTAATTGGAGGCGCGACAGTTTGTCTCAGCAGTCAAACTTGCTTAATTGGAGAGCCACAGAGACACACAGAGACAGCCAGAGAGAGAGAGAGAGAGAGAACTGTGGCTGGGAAACCTGTTTCTCGACCAATTAAACGCCAGAGAGCCAGAGGCTGGCTGGCTGGCTAAGAGAGAGCAGCCCCTGCCTTTAGACCTGGCCCAGAGACCCGGAGACGTTGAGGTCTGCTGTTGGCGCTGATCCCCAGACATTTCGTGTTCCGACGCGCACCGCGACAGTTCCACACTCTGAAACGTCTCTGCCAACCAGTAATCCCGGCGCAATTCCCGATAGTCTATGAGCGAATCTGCAGTGCGGAGCAGCAGGAGAATGGGTTTCAAGCACGCCATGTTGCAGCGCAGCTACGAGATGTCGCCCTCGCCAGCGCGCACTTCACCCACAAATGCAAACAGCAACAGCAGCACCACCAATGCGTGTCCCCCGGTGGTGGCCCAGGCTCCGGCCCAGGTCACGGACTTTAGCATCAGTCGGATATTGGGCAAGGAGCGGCGATCGCCCGCAGATGCCACAGCCAACATTCTGGATCTCTCGAAGAGTGCCACCAGCCCACCACAGGCGACAGCAGCAGCAGCAGCAGCAACCCAAGTCCCGATTGCAGCTACTCCATATATGGGTTACTCCTCCATGCTGCCGCCGGATCTGGTGGCCATGGCGAATGCCACCAAATTCTATGCGCAGTTCTTTCCGCATCTGCTGCCCGCCTATGCCGCTGCAGCGGCGGCTGCCGGCCTCAGCACGCCACCCACGTCACCCTACCAGCAACAGCAGCAACAGCAGCACCAGCAGCACCATCATCAGCAGCAGCATCAGCAGAAGCGCTACTTTGCACCCTATGTGATCAATGGACAGGCGCCACCGCCACCACCACTGCAGCAGCAGCTCAACCCCAATCTAATCCGTCCAAAAGCCACCGCCTGCACGCGCCCGGACTGCCTGGAGTGCCTGGACTACTACCAAAAGCTACAGGCTGGCTACAAGTGCACGCCTCTGATATCACCCGCTGCCTCGTCCGTCAGCAGTTCGAGTAGTTCCGCCGTGCGGCTGCCAGTGCGGGATCTGGTCAGCAGCAGCGGCGGCAGCACCAACATCTCGCTGACCACCGTCACCAATTTCAGTATGAACACGGCCCAAACGGCCACCGCCGCCGGACTGTTACCAAAAATGGATGCCGTCGGCATGGGAGGCAATATCAGCTCCAGCCGCAACAGCTCCATACATCCCATCAATCCATATAATCCCACTACCGCCGAGGAGATCAGTTACAAGTGCAGGATATGCGAGAAGGTCTTTGGATGCTCCGAGACTCTACAGGTGAGTTTTGAGCGATGGGAAGGTTAGAATTTTTAATGTATAGGAAAGGGAAAGGGCTAGGTAATAGCTGCAGAAAATCAGAATTAAATGCTAGAAAAATGCAAGATATTTGAGGGGGAAAGAAAAACCAGTTGATACATGAGAATATTAGACTTTTTGAGGAGGAAAACCCCGACTAAAGTTACTAAAAAATATGGCTTAAACGATCAATCCTTAAATCAATATTAGGTAAAGCATTCAAAATAAATTCGAAATATATATTTTTTATCTTTAAAAATTTTAAATTGATACAAAATGAGTCCAAGCAAAAACAAAAACTTTAATAATTTCCTTCCCAAGATACTTACTTTTTGTAGGTTGTATTAACACCCATAAACATTATTCAATTAAAAGAGTTCTCTTTATTGCCAGTGTGTACCTTTTTTTTTGCTTATAGCTAGCATTTGCATGACAGTGATTAGATTTAATATTATCTGAACAGCTGTCTTATAACAATCTAGTTTGATGATAAGTATTGGAAATATGTATGGATTAACATGGGGAAAAAAACCTTGCAAAACACACAAACTTTATATCATTTTTGGCACGTTTTCGAACCACTAAAAAGCTTCCACAAAAATCTACAGTAAAACAAGATAAGAGAACATCAATAATATATTCCTTTGAAATATGGCTTTAACATTTGTTCGGTAGAGTCACTTAATCGGATATCCATCGCTGAATATCCAAACTATAAAAATAAAATTCTTGGGTATAAATTTGTTTAGTAATTGGAACTCCAATTTGATTAAATGTTGGCATCGACTTGTCTGAGAATAAACCGCTGTGCAAGATCATTATTAAGCCTAACCCAAAAGCTGCGTACAAAATCTGTATGCCATGAACAGCAGTAACCTTTCATATGGCCATAAATTAAATGGGATATTGTTCACCCAATCCTCACGCTCCTCGAATGATGCTCCAAAAACAAGTTTTTTCCACCAACTGAAAGGCGGGGCTTAGCCAGTTAAGAGCAAGGGGTCAACGAACCAGCAGAAAGAGAAGCGAAGAAGAGAGAGCGTCGGCTGCCTTATGCAAATCTCGACTCGTTAAGGCCAACACGAAATGATCAAAATGGAGGCACAGCCAGCCCGAAAACAGAAGCGAGCTCAGCGAGAGAACTGGTTTTACGCATGGGTGCAGGGCACCTACCAGCTACCATTAGAAAGAGCAAGCGAGAGGGAGTCAAGCAGTCAGCGAAAGAGATAGCCAGACCGAACACCTGACAAAATGGCCAAACAAAAATTGAACGATATTTGTCTCCCTTTCAGGCGCACGAGAAGACACACAAATCGCCACGTTACGAGTGCTCGGACTGCGGCAAGGGCTTCTCCCAGCTGCGCAACTACAAGTACCACCTGTCGGTGCATCGCGGGACCAAGGAGTTTGCCGCCGAGTGTCCCGAATGCGGCAAGACCTTCAACGACAAGGGCTACCTCAGCAGCCACATGAAGATCCATCGGAATCGCAAGGAATACGAGTGCCCCTACTGCCCCAAGTCGTTCAACCAGCGTGTCGCCTTCAATATGCATGTGCGCATCCATACGGGCGTCAAGCCGCACAAGTGCGCCGAATGTGGCAAGCGTTTCTCCCGCAAGATGCTCCTCAAGCAGCACATGCGCACCCACAGCGGCGAGAAGCCGTACCAGTGCTCCGTTTGCGGCAAATCCTTTGCCGATCGCAGCAACATGACGCTGCACCATCGCCTGCACTCCGGCATCAAGCCATTCAGCTGCCCGCTCTGCCCCAAGGCCTTCACGAAGAAGCATCACCTGAAGACGCATCTCAACTACCACACGGGCTGCAAGCCCTACGTCTGTCCGCATCCGAACTGCAACCAGGCCTTCACCCAGTCCAGCAACATGCGCACCCATGCCAAGAAGTGTCAGTATCGGCCATTGGATGCGTCGCCGCCCACGCCATTTACAGTGTCCGGCAAGACACAGCAACTGGGAGGGCAGATGCAGCTGCAGCTGCAGCAGCAGGTTCCCACCAGCCTGGCTCTGGCCATGGCGGCAGCTCCAACGTTTTCTATGCCACCACCACCGCCACCAGCACAGCAATCGCTGCTCAGCAATCTAAGGACATACTGAGACAGAGATCGAGAGAGAGAAAGCTGAGCGCAGGAATTATCAACCAAAAGTGTAGTCGTATACTCGTATTGTAGTCCCTCGTTTTTTCGTTGTTAATATTAGAGATAAGTTTCAAAAGAAAGTTAGTTCTCGAACCCCCCCTCATAGACTAATCTAAATCTATAAATGGTTAATCCTTATCTTAAGCTTTGCTTTATCTAATATTTTAGTTACCTTAGGAATTTGTTTTTAGGCTCTGCTTTTCAAGTTCTAAGCAACCCAAGCACTCCTATAGAATAATCTACATCTATATAGCCTTTGCCCTTGCCTTCATTTGTGCTGTACGTTCAGTAAAAGCAAGCAGAGAAAAACAAGAGAAAATTGAAGAAGAAAATACACTGAAAGAGAGACTTAATTGATAGATTTAATAATGGACGCAACGAATATGCAACTGGAGTTACTTCTGGCGCCAATGGACTTGCACAACAGTCGCCAGACAATTCGCAAACTGGAGCAATATCCACCCTATGGGCCATTCTATGGTATTATGGGCGTGGTGGCGGCCATTGTATTGTCCTCGATTGGGGCTGCCTATGGCACTGCTGTATCCGGAACGGGCATAGCCGCAACGGCTGTGATGCGGCCCGAGTTGATCATGAAGTCGATCATACCCGTGGTGATGGCCGGCATTATAGCCATCTACGGCCTGGTGGTGGCTGTGCTGATCTCTGGCGTGTTGGATACCAGCGAAACATATTCGCTGGCCAAAGGCTACGTTCACCTGGCGTCTGGACTTTCCGTGGGAATGACTGGTCTGGCCGCCGGATATGCTGTCGGTATTGTTGGCGATGAGGGTGTGCGACACACTGCTCTGCAGCCGCGTCTCTTCGTGGGAATGATTCTCATTCTGATATTCGCTGAGGTACTGGGTCTCTATGGACTCATACTCGGCATCTACATGTACACGGTGGATGTTTAAAGGGCATATATGTAAATATATGTGGTCCATATCGGCCGTGTGGTGCCCCGGAGGGCGGGCCCCGCGCACCAACTCACCCACGGCGGCGGGGGGGGGGGGCGGGGGACACGCGGGGGAGTTTAAAGGTTTGAAACAAATTTAAAAACAGCGTGCGCGCTCACAACTAAAATCAGTTCTTGTTTCAACAGGCTGGCAGCACTGTTTACATAATACGCACGCACTGGCAGCCTCATTCATAATTTTCTGTCGCTGAAATTGGCGCAAAATATGCAAAACAATTATTAACCTCTATAAAATTCGTTTACGAATTTAATCAATTTCATCAATCTTATATCATATTTTAAAGCTATAGTAAAGAGGTTGGTACATACATGGAACGCAAAAATGAGTCGGGAGAGCATAAATTGGTCTCTCCCGACTCGGCCATGGCAATGTATGGACCGTGTAGTTACTATGTAAAAAAGGGACAATTTAAAACCTTATTTTATAATTCTTTTCCGCGATTTAACAAAGGGTGCTCAACTTTTTAAATAGAGGGGTGTTAAGTGGGTTAAGTCTCGATTGATCGCCGGATTGCCCTGGTTTTTTATCGTTATCGTCACGGTCACGCTGGTCACACTGTCTACAGAGTCGAAATTTTTTATATAGGCAATTTTGTTAATAAATTAGACAATTTAATCAATTTCGTGCGTGCGTGGTGTGTCAGAGAGGAGTTGACCGCCAGGTAACATACTCCCCTTGCCGTCGGGCATCGTGGTGGCTGTGCTGGCAAAGCTTTTGTGTGCCAATTTCATCATTAACAATTTCGTCATTGCACACGTGTCTGCTAGTTTGTGATAGTCCTTCGGGGACGGAAACGGGCGAATACCAAGCGTCGCCAGCTGTCCAACTCGGACGTGCCCTTTGGGCAACTAGGAAAAGGAAATATATATATTTTTGGAGCTATAACCAAACGCGTGAGCGCTGAGCACGCTAATTAGGGAAGGGGAAGCGCTGCTGGGCAGTGGCAGCGGGAGAGTGGCCATGGCTGAGTACTGGCAGCAGACCAATGGCGCAGGCGGAGGACCGGCCAACAATGAATCCTCAACGCGTTCGTCGTCGTCGCGCGCCTGCAATGGCGATGGCCGTGATGGCACCCCGGCAGCGGCGGCTGCGACGGCTGCGACGGATGCCAACAGAAACAGCAACAGCAACGGCAACGGGGGCGGCGGCAGCAACAACAACTATGTGAGTTTCAATCAGTTCATCATGCAGCACAATCTGGCAGCCAACACGGGCGCATTGCCTTACCATCTCCTGGCTAACAACGCGAATTACACCGTCGGTGGGGGCGGAGGCGCCTTCGGACTAACGCCGTCCTCCTCGGAGAGCACCGCCGCCGGTGGCGATGTTTCAAATAGCTTTGGAAATGTAAGTGCCTTGCCTGCGCGTCATCCTCCCCTATTTGTAATGCTCTAATCCGGTTATTCTCTCTCTCTCCTCCTCCTCCTCCTTCTCCTCCACATCCCAGTTCTATTCGCAGCCGGCGGTATTCCCTCCGCCATATCAAAATGGCGATGGTGTCGCCGCCAGTTCGGCGGCATTCGGCAACAGCTACGGGGTGGGAAACATGCAGATGCAGGGCCCCTTCTCCAATCTGTACACGCCTTTTGGCAACAATCCGTTTGACTTTAGCGCCTCCAAGCTGCAGGCATCCGCCCCAGAGTTTGTGCCTAACATGTTGAAGCTGAGCCTGGAGGAGTCCTCTGGCCTGACGAACGGCAATAGCACTGCCAGCTTTGAAACTGCCATCAGCGAGGGCGCACCACAGCGTCCAGATCTACAGGGAGCCGCCGACCATCGGGGCAGCTCCACAGGAGGCGGAGGCGGAGGCGGCGGACCAAAGCCAAGATCCAATCACAATTATGCCTTGCCCACCGAACGGGATCGTGATAGAGAGCGGGATCGTGACAGAGAGCGGGACCGTGACAGAGAGCGAGAACGTGAGCGCGACCGCGATCGGGATCGCGACCGAGATCGGGATCGGGATCGTGAGAGAGATTTTCGGTCTGGCGGCAACCGTCAGCAGCGTCGCGGTGACTATCGCGATGATCGCGAGGATCGATACGACCGCAACGATCGCAACGAACGCAACAAGAAGCCACAGAAGCAACAGCGCTATGACAATCATCGCAGCAACAAGAGACGCGACGACTGGAACAGGAATCGGGATCGCATCAACGGCTTTCCGAGAGCCGTCGATGACCTAGACACGAGCAATGAGAGCGCCCATCCCTCGCCCGAGAAGCAGCAGCAGCAGCAGCAACAGATATCGCCACGCCGTGCCACGCTGCCACCGCCGCCGCCGCCAGACAATGAGAAGCTCTCGCAGCGGGAGAAACTGATCCGAGACATCGAACAGCGGCGATTGGAGTGCCTCGTCTGTGTGGAGACCATCAAGTCACACCACTCGACGTGGTCGTGCCAGAACTGCTACCACGTCATCCATCTGAAGTGCACCATCACGTGGGCGAGCAGCTCCAAGTCGGATGTGGGCTGGCGGTGTCCCGCCTGCCAGAATGTGCTGCAGGATTTGCCCCGCGAGTATCTGTGCTTCTGCGGCAAGCTCAAGAATCCGACAGTGTCGCGCAACGAGCTGGCCCACAGCTGCGGCGAGGTGTGCTGCCGCATCGAGGGATGTAGTCATGCGTGCACCCTGCTGTGCCATCCGGGACCCTGTCCGCCGTGCCAGGCGAATGTCGTGAGGAGCTGCGGCTGCGGCCGAAGCTCACAGACGATGCAGTGCGCCATGAAGGAGGAGCTGAAGTGCGGCGAGATCTGCGACAAGATATTAAACTGCGGCGAGCATCACTGCAAGGAGGAGTGCCACGCGGGCAAGTGTGCCGCCTGCCCGGAGCAAGTGGAGCAGCACTGCCACTGCGGCAAGCAGGAGCGTCAGGTGCAGTGCACGCGCGAGAGCCTCGACAAGCGCAACTACTCGTGCAAGGACAGCTGCGGCCAGCCGCTGCCCTGTGGCAATCACAAGTGCAAGGATTCCTGTCACGCCGGAAACTGCAGGTGAGAAGATTACAGATTACAGAATGCCATGCCCCCCATGGATGAATCTACAATGTTGTTGTGGTTTATTTTCAGACCCTGCAAACTGAGTCCCGAGCAGATAACCAGCTGTCCCTGCGGCAAGATGCCCGTGCCGGCTGAGCAGCGCTCGAGCTGCCTGGATGCCATACCCACCTGCGAGGGTATCTGCTCGCGAACGCTGCGCTGCGGCAAGCCAGCCCATCCGCATCAGTGTGGCAGCAAGTGCCATCTGGGGCAGTGTCCGCCGTGTCCCAAGCAGACGGCTGTTAAGTGCCGGTGCGGCCACATGGACCAGATGATCAAGTGCCGCCAGCTGTCCAGTCGAGCGGACGATGCCCGCTGCAAGAAGCGCTGCATCAAGAAGCGCAGCTGTGGCAAGCACAAGTGCAATGCCGAGTGCTGCATCGACATCGATCACGCCTGTCCGCTGCCGTGCAACCGCACGCTGAGCTGTGGCAAGCACAAGTGCGACCAGCCCTGTCATCGCGGCAATTGTCCGCCCTGCTATCGCAGCAGCTTCGAGGAGCTCTATTGTGAGTGCGGAGCGGAGGTGATCTATCCGCCAGTGCCCTGCGGCACCAAGAAACCGCTGTGCAAGCGTCCGTGCTCGCGCCAGCATCCGTGCGACCATACACCGCAGCACAATTGTCATTCGGCGGCCACCTGCCCGCCCTGCATGATGTTCACCACAAAGTGGTGCCACGGCAACCACGAACAACGCAAAACCATTCCCTGCTCCCAGGAGAGCTTCAGCTGTGGACTGTCCTGCGGCAAGCCCCTGCCCTGTGGCCGTCACAAATGCATCAAGCCCTGCCACGAGGGCCCCTGTCAATCATCGGCTAGCGAGATTTGCCGCCAGAGCTGCACCAAGCCGCGCACGCTCTGCGGCCACAAGTGTGCGGCTGCCTGCCACGAGGGCGCCTGCCCGGAGACACCATGCAAGGAGCTGGTGGAGGTGCAGTGCGAGTGCGGCAACCGTAAGCTGAGTCGCAGCTGCCAGGAGCTGGCCCGCGAGCACAGTCGCATTGCCACCGCCCAGCTGGCCTCCTCCATGGCCGAGATGTCGCGCGGCAACTACATGGAGCTCAGCGAGATTCTGGCACCGGCCAAGGTCAACAAGTCGAACAGAACGTGAGTATGATGCGCATCGCCAATGAAATTCGTCCACCAGTCACCAATAAAAATTATTGCCCCGTAGGCTGGACTGCAACGATGAGTGTCGCGTGCTGGAAAGGAATCGCCGCCTGGCACAGGCCCTGCAGTCGCGCAATCCGGACACGCAGCAGAAATCTCTGACCAAGTATTCAGAGTTCTTGCGGGGATTCGCCAAACGGAATCAGGCGCTGACCAAGAGCGTGTACGAGACGTTGACAGATCTGGTGAAGCTGGCCAAGGAGAGCAAGCAGCGGTCGCGCAGTCACTCCTTCCCCACCATGAACCGGGAGAAGCGGCAGATGGTGCACGAGCTGTGCGAGATATTCGGCATTGAGTCGGTGTCGTATGACAAGGAGCCCAATCGCAATGTGGTGGCCACCGCACACAAGGAAAGGGTGAGCATTCCGAACTCAGCCTCAGCATAAATAATTCATCAAATAATAATTATTCAACCATTTTTTGCAGTGCTGGCTGCCTGCCACAAGCATTATGGAGGTGTTGGCCCGTGAGTCCGGACAGCGACGCGTTCCCGTGCCCAGCAATAATGCTTGGGGCCTGAAAAAGTAGCTCTGAATCTGCATCTGCATCTGCAACTGAATCGGAAACGGAATCAGGAATCAGGAATAGTTTGTGCACTTATACACACACACACACACAGACACAGACACACACATAACATTAATCGTTGGCGCTGGATATTACATATATTATATAGAATTGGAATGAGAGTTATAGCATGGATAATGGATGCAGGATGCAGGATAGGATCCAGGAAGCAGCAAGCAGGAAACAGGAAGCGCTACGAAGACAATACACAAAACGATTGGCAGGCCTTTTTTGGCCCATTTCATGAAATATTTTGTATAATGTTGAACCGTAGAGAAACGCGCCCGCCCGCCCGTCTGTCTGTCTGTCTGTTGAAACCCTGAATGGAGAATGGAGATGGAGATGGCGATCTATCTGGATACGACGATGATTGGGATGTCGATGATGGATTGAAGAGTTAAAAAATGCTGTTAACCAACCTGTTGAACTGTTGTACGATGAATTTAACTGAAAATGAAAGAACCTTCTGGCCGCGTTGCATATATAAAGAAATAACAGATCACAAAATGGATTAGATACATATGTATATTTTACATTCTACATTCTAATGCTGGGCACCATAAAACACACACAAATTTTGTCACATGGTGTCATACCAGTGAGCCTGCGACAGTCAGCTAGAATGAACTGCTTGCAAATACGAAAATCAAAGCAGTAAAAGTACCCCCAACGTTGGAAGGAAATTTTGAAGTGCTGCCAGAGTACCAGAAAAATGTAGTCTCGCAACAGACAGCTTCTGTCAGACAATACAATTTTTTTTTTGAAAATATTGAATTCAAATTGGATGCCACAGGAAAGTCTTATAAGAATAATGACCTGATATACGATTTGTGATAAAAATTAATTTAATTAAGAACTAATCAACCATCAAGGACGAAGATTCAAGTGGTGGGCGTCTATTGATCGATCAAATAGTAAAAACCTCAAGCAGCGAGTAAGTCTTGAGTCTTAATTTATCCATTAGCTAATTAAAGTTGGATGAAAAGAACCTGAAAGATGCATGGGATGTGTACATGCCTGCCGCCGTAGTTGTGGCAACTAGAAAAGCGCCTGGCCCCACTGCCACAGCAACAACCTGCCACCATCACATCACGTTGGCGGCGATGGCGATGGCGATGGGCACACGCTTCTAATTTGTTGCCATTGCCGTTGCCGTTGCCATTTTCACGAAAAACAATAAGCGGCGCCTTGGGAATAATGCCAAAATAAAGATGAAATGTTACGACAAGTCAAAGTGGAGCTGAGCAAAGAGCTGGGAGCTGCAGAGGGAGGATGAACGCACTCACGCATACCGGAATGGACCAGGATACGTCTGGAATGGAACAGAACAGAGCAGGCAAGTCGTATATGAATATAGACCTGACATAATGAGCTGCCTATAAGCGGAATGACTGCCAACGTCGTCAGAGACCTCTCCATAACATCTACCAAACCCCAACCACTACCCCTACTCCTGATACTGATCCCACTTCTCCTGCTGCCTGCTGTACCCCGCCCCCCATTTGGCGCTTAAGATGTGTGCGTAATTTGAATTTAGTCTGCCGGGGAGTTTATTAACAAATACAAAGAAATCCGAGGGAGCTGGGGCCACCGGAATGAAGACAAGAAAAAAACGGCCCAGAACAAGACGTAGGCCGAAGTCGAAGCTGACGCTTAGACAGAGCTTCTAGAGGGCAGAGAGAGAGAGATGAATCGGGGGCGGGGAGGGGGTAATAATTCCACAGAGATTAAATTGTGGTTGGCATCTGGGCTGGGCTGGGGGTTTTGGGCCTGGCGTTTTGGGTATTGCTCGCGAGAGACTGAAGGAAAAAGAGTTCATTTTGGGGTCAATTGTAGCAGCTGCATGTGTGGGGGGGTGGGACTCTGTTACTGGGAGCGTGAAGTCAGGGGAGCTCAGCTCAGCTCTCAGCTCTCGGCTTATAAAATGTGTGTAATTTTAATTATGTGTTATGGCAAGATACGACTCGTACTCCTACTCGTACTCGTACCCGTACTCGTAATCCGTATACGTACAAAAAAAAAGCCAAATATCAAATATGCATACGCGCCGCTTAAATGATACGCGATACTCATCGGTGGTGGTGGTGGTGGTGGTGGTGTTGGTGGCTCTTCAACATTTCTGAAATTGCGGAAGTAATATGGAAATTTATTTTAATTTTCATCTGAACGAAAGCGATTTTGATATTTCCTTTTTCCTGTTGTGCATGGCTGTGTGTGTGTGTGTGTTTGTGTGCTGTCTGCCAAATTGTTGGTAGTTCCTGGAAGGAAATATTAAATTTGAAGTGGATTGTGCGAACATTTTATTTCAAACATTTCTCAGAATCATTCAGCATTTGAAGAGGTTTACTGGGTTAAAGTTTTGCAGCTTTTAAAACATCTTTGGTTACCTTTAAGGGCCTACCAGATATCTTAATAATTTCCATTTGGCTCACAAAATTCACAGAATTGAAGAAGATTTTTCATTTCAAGCCTCTGACGTGTTCGTGGACTAGACTAGACAACTGGGACATATTTTTTTTTTGCATAAATTCCGTTTGCTTGTCTGTTTTCCAAGCGTTTTTCAACCCACATGTTCGCGCACTTCCATTTAAACTTTGGCATTTTGCTGCAGCACAACAAATTCACCAGCACTAGGGCAGAAAAAAAAAAAACTAAATATAAAAATAATAAAATGGTAACTTGACAAACATTTGATGCTCATTTGTGACATTTGGCCAGCGACAGAAACTCAGAGCCAGTGGTAGGGCAGGGGTGGGGGAGACAGAGAGGTACGAGAGCATAACATATGCAGTGGCAGTGGCAGGTAATATGAAAGCTGTCCCTTAAAATATTCATTAAGTCTGAGTGCAGTGGCTGAAATTATGCCTGCGTGTGGACCAGTCCGCACCTCGACACTGGCAGCTGGCAGCAGGCAGCAGGCAGGGGGGGGTGCCTGCTCGGCGCTCTGTAAGCACGTGACCCGGCCAAAAAGCGGCGACCACAGAAATGTAAGGCAGCAGAGGGCACAGGGAATAAGATGAGATGTGGGAATGGGAATGGCGAGGAGCGGGAACGGGAGTCGCTTTCAATTTGCGCATTTTGGCATTTTTAAAAATGCATTAAAGGAGCCAAGCCGCCGTCGCCAGCCCCGCACAAATAACGTGCCCAAAAAGATCTGCAGACAGACAGACAGTCCGCAGCAGCAGCAGCAGGACTAAGAAGAGAAAAAGTTGCGATGAAAGCGCGAAAATTACTTCCTAAATAGCCGCCTGACTGCCTGCCAAGACGTCGCAGCTCAGAGGGAGGAGGAGCACCAGCAGCAGCAGGAGAAGTAAAAGGAAGAGCTGTAGCTGTAGCTGGAAGGAAAGACTAAGGCAGAGTAAAGCCTAGCCGAGACGACGACGACCATGTCCTGGGCTCAATAAAAGGAGACACAAACACACTTCAGGACAAACTCTCTCACAGACAGCGACACACACAGACACACATCCACGACGACTGGGGGGACGGGGTACGAGTATATATAGAGCGACAGGAAGAAAAGAGGGTCACAGGAGACAGGGTCGCAGTCGAATTCAAATTGCAAATTCGCCGCAGATTTTTTATGCACTTTTCCCTAGCCAAAATTAAGCCAAGCGAACGCTGCGCCGGAACGAGCTCCGCTCCAGACGCGAGTATCAGGACCAGGACCAGGACGGGCACGGGGACGACATTGCTGACGTTTTGACGGCAAAATAAAAAAAAAGAAGAAATAGACTGCAACAGGAATGAGAGGCAGTGGCAGTGGAAGTGCCAGTAGGTAGAGAGCCTGAGGCAGGAGGCTCAACTGAATGCAAATATTATCGTATCTGTATGGAAAGAGGCAGCTAGAAATTGTCGGAGGATGGGGTGGTGTGATGGCTGGATACGAATGCGACGACATTACCCCGGTCTTGCTGTAAGACCTTTTCAAAGGAGCGAAAAGGTGACAAACTAGTCGTGATGTGGTGCCACCACTGCCTACCCTCCCCTAGTGGAGTGGCAGCCAGTGGGTAGGTAGTACCAGGGAAGTGCAGGCAAATGGTAGGGATATACCCCACTCCTCACACACTTCAGTCTGTAGTCTGTGAAAGTCCCCGTCCCCGTTCCACCCAACTAAATGCATTTCGGTTTTTATTCATATTTTATTCAAATGTGGCAACCAAAATGGCACAAACACTGCGCAGTTATTTATGTAATTCGTTTCTTTTTTTTTTTTCTGTTCGTCCCATTCCTTGTTGCATACACCAGGGATGCATTGGGGGAACTCTTGGAAGTGAACCAAAAACGATGCACGTAAATTTTAGCAGGGCGGTGAGGAAGGGCAGGCAATTTGGGTGCAACCCAAAAGGTTTTCTTGATAGCTTTTAAAATAGTTTTAGAGTTTAAGGAGCACCGAGATGAACACAAGAAAACTGTACTAATTCCGTTTGGATTTAATGGAAAATAATTAGCTGTGAATAATGTGTGGAAACTCAAAGAAAATTGAACAAATTCTGCATTTGAAATGTATCTCAGACCTCAGTATCTCTCTCCAAGAGTACAGGCTCTAAGATCAGAACCAAATCCAAAGATATATAAACATTAAACTCAAATAAGTGCTTGGATTTTATTTAAATATATTTCCCAGAACTAGCTGAACATTTCCAGTGTATCGCAGGCAGACCATCAAAAAAGAATTCCACTTTCTGGCCACTAATTGAAAACATTCCACTGAGCAAAAGCCATTTATTATGCCTCGAATAAGTAAGCGAAGTAAGAACCTATTAGAGGCAACCAGTTACATAGTTCCACAATTTCAAGATTTCACTTGGTTATTTATTTATGATTTGATCATTTTAGCACCCCCCCGCCCGGCAGCGTGGCACGAAGAATTTTAGAATTCTCATTGTCCAAGTCCAGCGGGCAAGAGGCAAGGGGCTTGGGCAGGGGCAGGGGGGCTGCCTATAAATAAAGCCACGAGACATCAGCTTTCCATGAATTGCATTTTCGCTGGGCTCCTTCGTCTGCTTCGTTTTTCTGTTTATGCCAACCAATCCCTTGGCCCCCAGCCCTGCCTTGGCCTTTTCATGCCCTTCCGGAGGGTGTCAGGATTCTTCCGAGAATTTTGTAACGCAACTTTTGAAGTTTTACAGTATTGATATTCTCGATCCGCATTAATGGAGTGGATAAAGCCGCGTTTCTTAGTCTTTTTCCCTGCACATTCGTATTGATTTCGAATTTAATTTCCAACGGCAGGATCTCCCGAAATAAAAGTAATTACAGTAATCACAGAACAACTTTTGTGCTTCAAATGAAAGTGTTAAAATATTTCCTGCCACCCAAAGCTCCATCAGAATTGTGTCCCTTCTTTTATCGTATAAGTAGAACCTGCTACGGGCTCACTTAATCCACCAGGGTATTAAAATCTTCTGCTACGGAGGCTACTCTGCCGCTGTGGATGCCTTTCCTCTTCTGCCAGCGCCGCCGCCTTCTCCTTTTTGCCATAAACTTGTCATCATTTTAATATTGGCAGCTTATAAAGCCACGTTAGAAGAGTCAGCAGAGCTGTGGCCGTGGCTGGGGGCGGGCAATAAGGGCGAACCTGGACTCTGGATCTGGGAGCTGAATGGAACCGAGTGGAACGGAACGGAAGCGTAGCTGAGCGGATGGGTATAGGGATGGAGATGGAGATGTAGAGCGTCGAACCAAAGCCAATGTCAGGCCAAGTCAAGACAAGCCAACTCAGCAACGGATTATCTGCGACAGCAGCAGCAGCAGCAACAGCAGCAGCATGGCAAGCGTTGACGTGCCGCAGAGATTGGGTAGGAGACAACGGTGGCCAGAGGTCGCGCGGGGTTTGGCCAGGTCTAGCTAGTTTGTGTGTTGCAAAAATTTACTGTAAAATACAATTTCATTTCCCCGTTTTTATAGCTCATTTCCAACAACATTTGCTTAGCAGCCGCCACGTCGCCGTCGCCGTCGCCATCGCCATCGCCTGCGTCTATGGGAAAACAATTTTTATTGCATTTTCGCTGGCAATGAGTGTCGAACGAGAGGAGTGGGCGGGAGAGTGTAGAGTAGTGCTGGAGTAGGAGGGGTATATGTAGTATGGGATGAAAGAAAGAGATAAAGTGATGAAGGAGAAAAGAGATGAATGGCGTCGACTGTCGAATGGTGTGCTGAACTGAACTGAGCGACGGTGTGGGAGTAAGTAAATATTACTTCTTGTTCTTCACTTTTTCTTTTTCACTTCCTCTTCACCATTCTGTCTCTGTCTCCGTCTCTTCCTCTGCTATGCTCTCGCACTCTCCTTCTTCTCTTTTTTTTTTAAACACTTGGCATTAAGTGCAACAGCTGGCCGAGTGAGGGGTGGGGAGGGGTGGCACCGCGTCAGGAGGGGGCGGCAGAGAGCGGCAACCGGGAAACGGTTTCCAGTCAGCCAACGTTTCCTGCGTTAGTTGTGCGCTCAAGATTCAATTATAATGCAATAAAGCGCGAATCAGAGCTACAATAAAAATAACAAGAATGAGATGCACCAACGGAGGGACACACACAGACACTCGAACACACACAGACACTCATACACACCCATACAGATGCCCAGATGCAGCCAGACAGATGCGTCTGTGGGGGTATATAGTTAGGGGCGGGAGGGAGGTAGAAATAGACATATGCATGTCGTCGCAACGGGGGGGGATGTTCCAGGAAATGCATCGCGCGTAATCAGAGATTTTGTAGATTTTATTTTAAATTTTTAATTTAATTTATTTTTAATTTGATAGTTTTTATTACAAAAAGTAAAAAAGTAAAAATAATTCGAGCTGCTAATATTAATTTTAATTACCATTTCAGCTCTGATTTCCTGGTGCAAAATGCTTCAAAGCGCTAAATGAAAAATGACGAAGATTTCCAGGAACTTAAATGATCAATGCCGCTGTAAGTAATCAAATTTGATTAATGTACAATAATAATAGCTGTAGTAAAATTTTAAAACAGCTAAAATAATTGAATTTAAATCTAAATTAATTTCTTGGGGTAAATTCATTAAAAAGGGGAAACTATCAAAGGAAGTTGATTTAAAATAATATTATTCTTTATTTAAAATCTTGAAAATTCCTCTAGCAAAAACAATTTGTTATGCCACCATTTTGAAATACATTTTCTCGACTCCACTTTGATCTTAAATTATTCCCAAACTAAACGCAGTATATTTTAGAAAACTCTTTCTAAATTCCATTATGCCTAGAAAACTAGAAAACTTTTTCTAAATTCTATTATGCCTCAATACGAACTTAATTAAAATCCGATTCGAAAGTTTTCAAAGTCCAAACAAAGCCTAGACACTGATGGATGGCATGAAAAAGAATGCGAAAAGGAATTAAAACCCATTTCTGCGAGACCGAGAGCGAGAGAACATTGATAAAATGAAGACTTAAGCGATTTGTTTGGTTCGTGTGGGGAATCGCCAGCGAATCGCTTTTCTGGAACGTGCTTGGAATATCCAAAAGAAGCAGAGAGAAAGCAACTAATACAGTGGCGATTGGGAGGGAGATTGGTTGTGGGGTGTGGGGTTGGATGTGGATGTGGATGTGGATGGGGTACTCTGCTAAGTGCTTAAGTGTTCTAATGTTGCTCTCTTTCTCTTTTATTCCCTGCAACCCGCACTCCAACCAACTCTCTCTCTCTCTCTCCCAGCATCACTCCATCTATCTATCTCTCCTGCCCCATTATTTTATCGTTCTATCTATCTCTCTCCCTCTCTTACCCCGCCATCACTTGAGTTGCAATTTGCAAGGCGGCTGCTGCAGCTTTCCATATCCCTTTCCGGCACAGCTTCAGCGCCCATCTGTCCCAACCTCCACTTTTTTAATATAATTATTGTTGCTGTCTGGCGCTAAAAATTATGAAAATTATCAACTTGATGCTACATCAACCTTACAACAACAAGAAAAAAAAAAGCGATGTAAATGTAGCTGGAAAATCCACGAAAATTTCCCACTAAAACAATCAACCGAAAGGAAGTCATTTGCATGGCGCTGTAGGGTGCGGGGAAGAAATCATAAAAATCACAAAAAATATGTATGCAATGGATTTGACTTTGGGGCACTTTAATTATCCAACATAAGAAGGCCGCAAATAAGCCAACAAAATGTAAAATAGCAGCAAGGACAACAGAAAATTCAATTAAAAATGGAATCCCCGGAAATTCCTTGTTGTAAATGGGAAAGGGGAGGGATGGAGGCTGAATGCTGCCCACCCAGAAAAATGTCGAAAAGCCATAATGTCAAAAAAGGCAAATTGTTCAACTCTCACGAAGGTGGCAGGGAAAACATGTGGCCAATAAATTTTGGCCAAGGCCAGCAAAGGCCCCTGGAAACAACAAAGCAGAGAGCGTGAACGAGACACGGAAGGGAATGGTTGGAAAGCGACAAGGATGGGGGGAGGGGGAAGAGAAATCTGTTGGCTCCCCCGTAATCCCAACTTAAGTATGTAAATTGCCGCACGTTCATTTTTTGATTTTCCAGCATGAAATCAGTATAATCTGTTTTGTAGGGATGCTGACCAGCGGGGGGAAAAAAAGTCAACGCTGGCGAGGATGCTTCTTCCGCCACTGTCCCAGTGCCGCTCCAGGAGGCACTGCTCCTCGCTGGCTGCCCTGCCCTGCCCTGCCCAGGAGCGCTGATTAACGCACTCGAGCGCAATCTGCCTCACTTCACTTTTATGCAAACACAAAACAGAAATACGAGCATAAAGGCACGGAGCAAAAATAAAATAGAGCCTCATGCCTCATGGCTCATGGCGGAAGAGAGCTCCTCCGACTGACTGTCTGTCTGTCTGCCTCTCTGTCTGTCTGTCTGTCTGTCTTTCGGGCCTATCTTGATGGCAGCGTGGAAATGCTCCCGGTGAAAAACCTCTCTCGTTCTGTGTTTGACTGTCTGTCCTTTCATATTAAAGGTAATTTTCATATTTCTGCAAATGGCAGTCAGCCTCAGCCCTCAACATCTCTCTCTCTCTCTGTGTCTCTCTGTGTCTCTCTCTATCTCCATTTGCCATTTCCATCTGTCGCATTCTTCTTCTACTTTGGCACACGGCAATTCAATCATTTAAATTCAAAAAATACACATAAATATATATAATTTATATATATATATCTGCATGTTGTACCTGTACGTAAAGTGGGAAAAGTGGGGAAAAGAAAGCGGGAATATATTGCCGGCATAAGCCAACGACCGCCGTCGCCGTATCGTTTGAGTGCGGAAAAGCGGAATAGGTACGGGAAAAGCATGAAAAGCTTATCGAACAGGTGATGAAATGGCTGATACTCTTGTTATTCCACAAGTGGAGGACAGCACCCATTCACCTAACAGAAGGCTGTCTGTTGTCTCTGTGTATGTTTGTGGGGCCCTTGAAAACAAATGCGGGGAAAAAGTGAAATTGTTGGCAGTTGAACAGAGGAAATCGGTTTTAAATGAGGAAATGGTTTATACCATCAGAGTGAGTTGTAATCAGTGAATTTTTGTTCATTCTTCAGGCTTACATATGTACATACATATGTACGTACAGATGATTGATGTTTCTTTTGATGGATAATGTTTTTTCGACAGTTTAAATTTGATTTAAGTTGAAGCATTGAAGTGGGTAGCTATTTTTAGGAATATTTATATTTTATATTTCATATTTATATTTTATATTTATATTTCTATTTATATTTTATATTTATATTTTATATTTATATTTTATATTTATATTTTATATTTATATTTTATATTTATATTTTATATTTATATTTTATATTTATATTATATATTTATATTTATTGTATTATTTAAATTTATATTCAGAGAACAGAGAGAAGACAATGTCCCCTGACTGTCAGTTCTTAAGTGCGGGCAGTCCTTGCCATTTATTAAATATTCCATTGATATATTAGCATTCATATTCCCAAGCCTCCCCTTGTGTGTTTGATCTTATACAAATTCTTTCTTATTTTTACAACTTGATGTCCCAATCATCATTATGGCCACCATGCCAATTGCTAAGGCAACCCAATCAAAGACCATGTCAGCCGTCAGCTAATCCCCATATTATGCCGATCAAATGGCGGCTTTGCATCATAATGTGGCCAACATGCTCTTAAAGTAATGCTACCCATTTTGCCCCACTCAGGGCATGGCATCTACCAATAATACAAAAAAAAGAAAAAGAAAGCCAAAGCAACTAACAAAATCTTGTGCAGCAGAAAAAAAAGATGATAGGAGAGAGGAGAGTGAAGAGTGGAAAGAGGAGAGCTGCAAAAAAAAAAAATGGAAATGTTTTTTAAGCTGAAGCAGCTCGAGCCGAGTCGAGTCGAGTCGTGCAGCGCAGCAAAAAATATTTATTACTTTCGCTCCGACTGGATATACGCTACGACCGTACGTATAGTGGGTGTGTGTGCCTGTGTCTGTGTGTCTGTGTCTAGTGGGAGATTGTTTGCCCTCAAGGTGAAAATATGCTAAGTAACAAATAAAAGCAAGATCTCTATCAGAGGCTCCTCCTCTCGCACTCATCCGCCCATAGCCCAAAACCCAACCCCCAACCCCCATCCTGTTGCCCCCATTGAGGCTGCAAATGTTGCAAACGAGTCGACGTCGAGTCTTTGGCTTTTTACATATTTTTGAGGTTTGCAGCACTAGCGCATAGAGAGTGGCAGGGCGGGCAGCCAGCGCATAGGACTGGTGTGGGGCGGATATGAATGTGGTGGCCAGGATGCGGATGAGGGCGGATGAGGGTGGATGAGGGCGAGAAAGACGAACGGCCAAAGAAAAAAAGCCGAAAGCAAAGCTTGTAAACAAATTAAGAGATTGCTTTTGGGCAGGCGACCGTCAAAAGCGTTGGGCTTGAAGGCCGAACAAATGGCCAGAACGGACAGAGCGTACAGAGCACCACGGACGGAGCAAATGGAGGAGGAGGAGATGAATGCGGCAAGGATAAAGGGACGGTGCCGGGGCCGGTTCCGGGGCCGGTCGAAGGTAAAGGCTGGGCGTAATGATGGCAGAGATGGAGGCGTTACAACTTTGCTAAAGATTCGAAAGGGGCGTTTCTAATCAAATCAGTTTGGCTGCATCCAATAAATTTTTCCATCTCTGAGAGCTGCAAAGAAACAAAAAAAAAACCAAAAAGCAAAAAACCAAAAAGATGGAAACAAGAAAAAAATAAATGAAAACACTTTGCGGTTGTAGGAACGACTTTTTGTGTTTCCGAAATATTTGTTTACAAGTTTCGTTGATTTTTCATTCGCTCCAAAAAGGCGCAGAGAGGGGGAAGTGTCTGCGAGCTGGCCCATGGCCGTAGATTGAATAGATTTTCCCCCCCACTCCCCCATAACTCAGCCCCAAGGCGGCATCTGTTCTGCCATCGCCCATCTATGAACCGCACTTAGATGATGGCTCCCATAGATGTTGGTTTCGATAGTTACTTTTCATCCTTGGCTCCATCTTGTGGTGAAAATCTCTGCTCTCTGCTCCAGTGTTTGTGTTCATTCCATTATATTTATTTATTCCTTGCCATTGAATTCCGTCAATCTATAGTTATTGCGGTATGGTTTTATGGTCTTTTTTGCCAAGAATCATTTATTTTTTGTATTCAATTTATTTGCTATACTCTTAACCTTAGACTTAAATTGATGAAATACATTTTTGGGAAACTATTTTATAGATAAAAGCTCAAAGGTGGCAAAGGGTTGAATGATTTCTCGTGGATTTGTTTATATTTATATTTATTTATTTATAGGCCTTTTCTGGCTAAACGAACTTATTTCTATCTTAAAAAATAAACAATAAAAATAAACAAAGAATGACAAACTAACCATTAAGCAATAAAAAATCACAAAGCAACCGTCTGACGGATCCTTTCCCAACACAAAAGTCGAATGGCCTCCCAGCAGTCAGCAAATTATACTGGCGAAGAGCTCTACATATTGGCTCATTTTTTCCGTAATTGGTCCGGGGAAGATCAACAACTCCAAAGCTCCAAAGCGGCTATAATGCATTTGGCTAGATGTTTGCATTGGCAGAGATTGTAGTACATTTTTTTGGTCAATAAAATAAAAGGAGAAACCGATTAAACTTCTAAGACAAAAATAGTTTTTAGCTGCAGAGATTCGCGTCAAAAATCAAGAAGCTATAGTTTCATATAACTGTTTAAAGGCTAAATTACATGAAGTCTAATGATTTCATTATCTTTATAGCTGTCTTTAGAAATCAATTGTGCCTGAAGGCATCTATCTATCTAATCTTTTGCCCTACCATTTGAGTAAAACAACTACAAATGAGGGAATATTTCTAATGCAAACTTGTTTATTGCATCGGAAAACTGACAGGCGCCCACAAATCTTCGCCAATCAGCAACTCATCAAATGGATCAACCCTTTTCTGTCGGCCTGGAATATCGCCTCAGGCGCTCAGCCCAGCCCAGGCAATTGCTTGAATGAAATTGCACAACAGAAATGGGAAAAATGGGGAAACAAAAATAACTGTTTTGTGTACTCGTACATCGAATATTCATAACTTTTCCGGGGCGAAAATTCTAATTAAACGACTCTCAGGCCTGCGATGAGTCTCGTCTCGGAGTCAAGCCAGAGTTCAGAAGTTGGGTGAAGCGGGGCCGCACGCGGAATAGTTTTCTAATTAACTGTGAACTATGCGAAGCGAACTGAGCAACTGAGCAACAGAAAGATAGAGAGAGAGAGAACACACAGAGAAATTGAGAAAGAGGCAAAGAGGCAGCAGCAAACAAGAGCAGGAGGTGCTGCAGGTGGGAAAGAAGACGCCGATGAGATAAACCGTGAAATCTCATGAATTAACTGAGCCAACTTTTGACTCGAATGGAAAGAAAGCGAGACACAGAGAGGGAGAGAGAGAGAGAGAGAGAGAGAAAGAGCAAGCGAAAACTATTTGAAAAGAAAAGACAATTGCAGCAGTCTTTCTCTCTCTCAGTCCGGAATTTGGTAAAGGTAAAGCTACGGGTACTGGGGTACGGTTACTGGCACGGGGGGAGGTACGTACGTACTGAGTCTGGTTGGAGTCTAGAAATGGTTTAGCCCGGGCGGAAAGCGAAACGTCGCCAGCAAACAGCGTTGAACGTCGAGTGGGGTTGGGCTGGTTGCTCTGGTTGGGCTTTCCCTTCATTGTTACCGCCATTGTACCGGAAATGCCGCACAAATGAGAAGTGGAAGGAAGTTGACAAGCCAGTGGGGGGGGGACTCTCTACTGCGAGAAGGAAAGCAATGGGCTGGCAGCCCCTTCCCTGCCAAGTGTGAAGGCAGTTGACTGCAGGGCAACAGAAACAGCAACAGCAACAGCACAGCAACGTGCAACCGAAACGTGCAACGTGCAAGGCGTCAACAACTAAACCCCCACCCCACCGTACACATGACAGGTCGAAGGGGGAAGAGGATGAAACGGATGCGGATGTGGATGCGGGTGTGGGGTTGCCGGTGCCGGTGACGGTGACGGTGACGGTGCTTGCCTGGTGGCACTGTGTAGGGTTAAAGGCGCTCCCGTCACTGGGGTCACTCCTCTAATTAGCTGCAGTAATGGTGTGTCAACAGGGAAAGGAGTACGGAAAGAGTGACACCAGAAGCGGCATCTAGGGGAGTGTGGGGGGGGGGGGCTGCTGCTGCATCAACTTGGGGCTCCCTAAGACAACAACCTCCAGTATAAACTAAACTAAACAGTTTCGTGTAACTCTCCCGCTGCTGCAATCGGAGCCAGAGACATAGAGACAGCGACAGAAACAGAAGCAGCAGCAGCAGACGAAGACGTAGATGGAGATGGAGACCAGAATCAGAGCCACTAGCAGTGCCTGGTCACGTGGGACAACTCTGCAGAGCCATCAAATGATGGCGCTCTGAGTGCAGCCAAGTCTCTTAACCCATTTAGCCTCAGACAGGATAAGGGAAATCATCAAATGGAGTACGGAAACAAAAGAGTACCATGGAATGTCACTTGTTTTAAAAAGATTTGCACTTGTTTCCTTATCGAATTGTTACTTGGGATTTACATAAATATGCTCGTAGTTGTGGGCGATACTTGCTCTAGGAGTGGTTTGGTTTTTTTTATTATTTATATGTATATTTATTTATCATTAAATATAAATTCTGTTCTACACTTCTATAGCTCAGGGAATATTCTAATTTATTTTGTACCTTATTTGGCAAGAAGGAAACTTTCCCCCAGCTGATTGACTTCCCTTAAATGTTATACACTTTTTTTTGGCTTTAACTGTGAGCAGCATAACCGCTTCATAAACGGCTTCAAGTCCTGACCCTAGGTATGAGGAATGCGGCTATGCGGCATCAAAGATTCCGAGAGTCAACCGAGCAAAATCTGTGCCAAGCGCTCAGTGCTTAACGTTCAACGTCTTCCTCTTGGCCGCAAGCGACCGAATCTTGGCCCGATTCGAATTTGGTTAGGTTTTTTTTTTCTTTCTTTCTTTCTAAGTTTTTTTTTTTTCTTTGCATGACACAAATAATTGGCGCATAATGAGCATAACTTAAAGCAAATTACGAGTTCCGAGCGTGTGCCTTGAACGCCGGCTAGTGGGCGGCGAGGGCGTGCCCTTGGGGACGGTGTGGGTTGGTGTTTCGCGGTGTGGTAAGTAGAAAGTGGGATGTGGGCTGTGGGCTGTGGGCTGCAGCACCCTGGACCTGTGCATATTTCAAAGAAAACTTTAGAAAATATGTCGCGACGATGAATCCTGCAGCTCTGTTTCATTTTCCTTGCTTTTCGCTGAATCTCTCCAGACCCCCAGACCCAGAACCAGACCCGGACCCAGACCTGCTTCTTGTTAAGCTCGGCCAACATTTTTCTTTAATTATTCAAAAGATAATTACACTAAAAAATGTTTTTTTTATTTTTTTATTTTGTCGCCAGCCAGTCCACCAATCCCAAGTAACAGGACAAAATCTATAGACTTGTTCCTCCATCTTTGTTGCCGCTGGGGGCTGGCTGGCTGGTGGGAGAGCCAGATGGGAAAGAAAACTTTGGGTTTGCTGCTAAAAATGTTATTTTTATTTTGCTTCTCATAATTGCCAGCCAAGTCAACTGAGCAAAACGAGCGCCGGATGCCAGCGGAAAGTTAAAGGAAACGCAGCCCAGATACGGAACACAAGCGGTTTGGCACATAAGAAGATACACGGAATGGCAGAGGCCACACAGGCAGAGGCAGAGACAGAGGCAGGAGGTGGGAGTCAGCACGAGATGCTGCCAGAACGTCGCGAACGTTGCCTGGCACATATGCCAAGTGCGGAGAAGGAGTCACAGTCGGAGCAGGAGCAAGAGCAGCCAGCAGCAGGATAAAGCTGGAATAAAACAAAAGAGTGAAGATGCAAATCGGTCGCCTGGAAGTCTGCCAGTTCCACGCTGTAGATCTCTCCCTCTCTCTCCCTCTCTCTGTCTCTCTTTAAAAGTGTCTCGAAAGGTTTGTTTTATTTTCTCCTGCCTCCCGCCCTGCTTTAATTAATTAAATTTATTTTAAGTGGTGCAATAAAACGAGGTGAGCCGTAGAAGTTCAGACAGACATCAGGAGCCAGAGAGACAGGAATCGCACACAAACACACACACTTACACACACGCACAGAGTGAGTATCGATTTATGCACATTTTTATGTTGACTTTAAATGGAGTTTTTTTTTTTTGGAGTAGCTCCACTTGAGTTATCCTTTTTGTGTTTGCGTCTATAAAAGAGAAACAAATATTAAATTTGCATTCAAAAAAGGAAAACGCTTTTAGGAATTTGATTTTTTCAGGGAAGTGTTTTCAAGTTTAAGCCATTTGATAGTTGGAATAATTGGCTTTCGGACTCAGATAATTGCATAATTAAATATTCCCAATCAAAGTCATTTATTATGGGACTGGCAATGGGGCTGCTGGGTTTTATGGTTTAGTTATTATCATATTTGTGTGTAATGTATATTTCTTTGTCGGGTAGCTGTTAAAAACCTGCATATAAATTTGGTTAATTTAACAGGCACACAGCAACTTTACTTAAATATTTATTACTGTTAATCCCCCGCGAATGACCTGCAGTCGCTGTCAACACTTCAATCTTCCCTCGCCCCATCCACATACATATGTAGCTATGCATTTATGTGTATATGTGTATATGTATTTAAAGTGTATCTGCATATATTGACCATTTCGATTTGGCCCACTCAATATGCATTTAAGCATCTGGCGGCACCGAACGGCCGACCACAGCCGGCCGGCCGGCTGGGGCCCGGCCCTGACCAGCTTCAATGGCGAACGATGCAGGAAAGTGTACGATAATTATCGAGACATATTTAATAATAACAAATAATAGTAACGGCCCAGAACAGACCCCTATAAACGTGCACATGTATGTATGGATTATATATTCATCTCTTAGTACTCTTTATAAATAAATGTGAAACGCGCATAATTGCCAGAAATTAACGTGGCCGTACAATCAATATTTATCATCTCCCTGCCACTACTATATGTACATACATATGTAGGGTACTCGCATGCATATTCACACATATATTTATTTGTAGTATAACCCATGCAACGGATGCCTGGATCTGGATGTTCTCGTAATTTGCCTTGCGCTGCGCTGCGCTGCGCTGCGTTGGCATTTTAATTTAAATTCAAGTTGGTAACTGCAAAAATGCTCCATTTTTTTTTTCCGCCTGTTCGTTTGTTGATTTTGTCCATCAGCGTACAAAAATGGCACGCAAATTATGAACCGCAAATGTGCGTGCAATGGGGGTGGTGGGGGGTACGAAATATTATATAAATATATATATATATTGGTCGTAGTAGGAGTTGGGTGTAGGCGTGGCAGTGCACATTTGCATGTCCAACAGCTGACGAGACGGACGACGACAACGACGCGTTTACGCCCCCCAGAACGACGGCCACACATCTATTTTTAATGGACATATTTTCATATGCAACGGCCACTCTCTTTTCTCTTTTTTTTCACCATTTATGTGGAAAACAACGGCCACAGGAAAAGCGAGAAAATTCATTGAGAGAGTGAGAGAGAGAGGGAGAGGGGGTGGGAGTTGAATTTATTTACGCAAACATTGCACAGCTTATCTATGGCCATGGTTGTTTAATGGCTGGGAAATGGTCTCCGCTTGATGATTTTTTTATTGATGCTGGCCCCCGGGTCGAGGTCGCGGCCCTTTTTCGTATTTGTCAAGTTTGCTGCGGCACGGGTTATTCCGAATGTCAAATAACTTTGAGACTCGAAATGAGTTTGTTATGAGTGGGAGCCAAAAAAAAAAAAAAAAAAAAAAGTGTGCCCTGTGAAATTGTCTGTAAAATGATATTGCATTCAAAATGACAAGTGCATTGGCACTGGCACTGGCACTGGCATTGGTATTGGTATTGGTATACTCCTACGTACGTATTGTGAAATCAATATTCAGTGTACGAAAATTCTTTAATAAAATATTAAATGACAGCTAGAGGCACATACCGCAAGGGATTGCTGGCATTTTTATTGTATTCTCGCCGGGATACACTTGCATTTGTGGCCTGAAAATCAAACAATAATACTCTGTTAGCCTCTCAAATGCTCACCCAAAAATATTGCACTCTCTGTTATCTGACGTTGAAAAGGGTGTTGGTGTTGGGTGTTCGAGTGATACATTGAACACACAAATTGAATGTAAAGCGTATAATCAGAATTCAATTAACCTCTGCACAAAGTTAGTTTCACTCAGCTGCTGCTGCTGCTGCTGCTCAGCTGTCCTTTCAGGGCACAAACTCTTGTTGTTTGCATGCATGGATAATAGTTTGAAGAATTTATGAACCCACAGATATGCGGCCAGCAATTCCTGGTTCAAAAATTGAAAAATTGCCTCTGCATCAGCAAACACACAGCACACAAATGGAAGTTGAATCAAATTACTGTCTCTCCACCTGACTGCAAAACTTTGCTTTGGCTTACTTTCCAACACTAATTTCTTTATACTTCAATGAAGTTTATATCTGACGAAAGTGTCCTGTGCTCCTTTCCTCTCCCTCTCTCTCTCTCTCTCTTTGTGCTCCTGCTGCTGTTGCTGTTGCTGCAGTTTTATCTAAAGGCTGCGTCAACTTTTTGACCAGAAACTTCAACAACTTGGCTGTAACTCATCAACAGCAGCAGCAGCAGCAGGGAGCAGCAGCAGCAGGAGCTGTGGGAACAACTGCACTGCCAAAACATGCCCCCCACACACACACACACTCACACACACACTCACACACATGTCAGCTGCCAGTTGGTGGATGTGGCAGATGCAACTGGTGGCCTTTGCGTGCCTATTTGCACTTGCCAAGTGGCAAGTGGGCAAGTTTACATTAAATACAATAAATACTTGCCACAATTTATGCAACCCCAATGGAGTGGCAGTCTGGCAGCGGCTGGTGTCGGAACGGGACGGGGCATTCGGCGGGGCTGGTGTCGGGTCGTGGCCCACGTTGCGCTACGATAATGTGGCTGGCTAAGGTGATATACATATGTATTTTATGGGCTCCGGATGTAATTCAAACTGCATACAAGATTGAGCTCAAGCTATCTTAGATCGCGCTGGATTAAACTCCCACTTATATGCAGTTCCTGCCCGAGCTGGAGGTGTGCCATTATAGATTTATATGCGCTGCATAGCTGATGTGGCTTAAGCAGCAAATTTTAATATATATTCTATGGCAGTGCCTTGAATCAATTGAAGCAGTAAATCAATTTAAAATAAATCCCTCGATCGAGTTGCGCACTGAACCAATTCCGAAAGACGAAATCAATCCCAAATCAATCGCTTTCCCCATTCGATTTGAATCTCTTTGATATTCGAGTAGCCCCATATATTATTATTATTCCAGCTTTGCATGCAATGGACTCGTTCTCTCTCGGTTCCTCTTCCTACCTGATAAATTCTGCACTTGCCAAAAAATAAAAAAAATAAACCAACAAGACCAAGAACCAAGAACCGAAATTGAAAACAAACCTCATATACGAGGACTACCTCGTACAGCGCATACAATATTCATAGAGTCCTTAACAACTTTTGGCTTTGGCAAGGGATTCGACTCACATATCATAAACATGCCTCACACGTTCCCCCACACCCCCAACCCCACCACAGTTCTTCTTTTGGCCATTTGGCTCGTTTTTACTCGTACCCTCTCTGGCCCCACTCTCCTCTGGCTTGTTGACTATTTATCGATGATGTGCAAATTAAATTTTCGAGTACAGCAGAGGCGTTGCACGTCTATCTGTCTGTCTGTCTGTCTGTCTGGCTGTCTGTTTGTCTGTCTTCCTGTCTGTTGGTCTGCCACAACAGGAGACATCATTGATCGATACGCTGCGCACGTGTCACAGACCGCAATGGAAAATATTTTTACACTTCAAAATTATTATGTGGACAGGCGATGGAAAAACAAACAAATGAATAAATAGAGTTGACGGAAATTTGTGGCTAGCTGTCGTTCCATCTGGGATTGGGTTGGAGAATCAGCAGCAGTAGGTGGAAGCAGTGGATGGTTCCATGAGTTGGTAAATTTATAAAGATATACATCGACAGCAGCAATAGCAGCAGCAGTAGCAGCTCCTGTGTTGGCCTGTCGACTGTCCAACTAGAAGTCCGTTTATGACTAACAGAATGCACACAAAAATGTGGCAAAGCCAAAGCCAAAGCCAAAGCCAAAGCTAGAGCCAAACAAGCCAAAGCAACGCAACTTAACCAAATATAAAACTAAAATGCAACTAATTTGCAAGGCCACCGGCGAGGAGAGAGAGAGAGAGGCAAGTAGAAGCCCTCGCCTCGGATGCCAAGGGTGTGGCAACTGTTAGTTAAATGTTGCCTGCTGTGTTGTTCTTGTTTCCGGTTGTTGCTTCAGTTGCAGACCTTTTGTTGCTCACTTTGACATACACTGACCCAAAAGCGAGTTGTTGGCTGGACAGGGCCAAGTAGAAATATAATTAAAACCACGAAATGCACAGAGGAGATCCCCATCACTGGCTGGCCTGCGTCCCTCAATTGAGCTTCATTTAACGTGACTCATGTGCAGAGTTAGTGGCAGAAATTTGTGCATAAATAAAAGGTAATCTGAACTAAATCAAGAACTAAATAATTGACAAGAGAGCTCAGATAGCAATGAATAAATATACAAATAACGTTGACATAAATTGCATGTGCAGCTGAACATTTGCCCCCTTCCCCCCCATAAAACTACATGATCTGTTCCTTGGCAAATTCACATTGTAAAATTCGTACCACAAATAATTCCAATCAGTGCATCTTGGCCTGCAGCATATTCAGACTTCGTCACACACTCCACACACATCTCAGTTTGGCTGGCTGGCTTCTCCTCCGATCCCTCCGACTGCAGCTGGAATTCCATGATGCTGTTGACTTGGTTCTCTTCGGTTTTTCCATGCGTAAGTTTTGTTTGTATAAGCCACGCTTAAGCATCCACACATATGTGTGTTCTCTCTCTCTCTCTCTTTCTCTGTGTATGTTAGCTGGCTGGCTGGTTGGTTGGTTGGGCTGGCTGGTTGGTTGGTTGGTGCGTTTGTTTGTGGCCAGCTTAATCCTTTCATTTTCATAACTCGTCATAGAATGT